TTATAATAATATTATAACGATGTGAATTTTTAGAATCGTAACGAGAAAATGAGTCGGGCTCTAGTCAACCCAATCTCTATGAGTTATTATTTTATTGGACTAAGGATTAGACTTTTATTTAGTTGGGTTTTCTGTCCATTTGAGTGCTTTTGCTATCAAAGTTGAGGGATTTCCAATCTCAATTCGTGTTTGGTGTGCCTAGGGACATTTGCAAACTCAAGTCTTGAGTTTTGGACTTAGAGTTGAATTAATCTATCGACCGATTAATCTAGATCGGATACTGCAGAGACGATAGCGACCCTCTCAACCCAGTTTGCTCCATTCGCAAACATCAGGATTCGAACCTCTGACCTTACTTAAGGGACCTAGTGCCTCATCCCACGTAACCAACTGGTTGTTTATAATTTTTTTAAGTTGTTTTGGGCTTAAGTGACCCTAAATACCTTTTTGAGTATATTTTAGGTCAATCAAAGCTCATAAGATTATTCTTTAAAATTATCAAAATGCACATTAATTGTTAAATTACATGATTTCCCCTAATGTATGTAAATTGATTTTGGGGTTTTATAATATTATTAATGATTTTAATTTTTATATTTTATTGACAGGAAATGATATTACTTTCAATGCGGTAAATGTAAAGGGTTTTTTTTCTATGCGGCTCCCTCTACTTTTATTTGGCTAATCCCGACGGTAATTTTAGTGTTAGTTATCGACCGTCATTACTTCTTGTTTTTCGTTTATGTTTTATATTATATTTTTTTTTACTTTTAGTTTTTAATAAGTATGTTTTTATGATATTTTTTTTCATTTGTGATACGTTTTCTTTTTTCTGTTTTTTACACGTTTTTGGTCTTTTGATCGTTATTTTCATTTTTATTATTTTTCTCAGGTTGGATTTGATGACACCTCGACTGATCAAGATTATACTTATTTGTTACTGTTATAATATTTCATGCTTTGGAGTCTCGGATTGGATTGGGATACGTGGTTGTATTTGTGGATAGTTTTCTCACGCCGCTTGACTTTGAAATACGGTTTGTCGGTAGTCTTTCAATAGTTTTCATCCCCTTTTGTGTTTCATTTGTTGGAGATGCAGTCAGATCTATTTATATATATATTTGTTCAAGTATTTTGATTATGTTTTTAACCTTTTCATTATATGATCATCGTATGATCTTAACTAGTTATTTATTGTATTAATGAAATATCTCAATTATGTGTTTAGTTTACGACTACAATTATAAACGTTTATTGTAATTCTAAGAATTTTTATTTTAATAAAACTAACGGCTTTTATTAAAAAAATCACTAAGTAAGCTATATCTAACCCTATATATTAAACACAATATATGTGTCTACCGAGTGACTTTAAAAAAATAATGTTAAGTAAAATTTTATTTTAATAACTTTCCTAAATTTCATTTAAATATCAATATAATATATAATCTATTGATCGACTAATTAAAATTTATTATTATTGAAGTTTATCATAAAAATGAATCTTTTAATTTATTTTATTTTATTCTATTTTATTTGTAAGGTTAAGATTCGAATATATAATTTTTACTTGATTGAAACTAAGATACACCTTTGCTCGTTGTTTATTTAACAAAATTTAAAAGGTAAAACTGCTTTATGCATAGCTTTGTTATAATCAGGTAGAGCTGTGTATATGGGCTCAGGCCCGCGGGCTACCCGTTTAACCCACGATCTGTGCGGGCTTCGGGCCTCAAAAATTGAAGACCGTTTAAATTGCGGGTTTTTTAGCCCGGACTGTTAAACCCGCGGGTTTAATGGGTATAACCGTGGGCTACCCGTTAAACCCGCTAAAGCCCGCTTAATTTAAAATTTATAAAATTTTAGAAAAAATAAACTTAAAGAATTTTATAGAAAAATAAAATAAATTACTTATAAATATGATGTTACTTATAACTATTGTAGTTCTTAAATTTATTAGGGTGTTTGTCATAATTTTACCATTGCTTGATATTTTTTTCATTTAAATATACATCATTATCATTTTGGTATTTAAAGTTTTTTTATTTAATTATGACCTTTATTTTTTTTCATGAAGTATGTTATCCATTTTGTTCTTTAATTATAAAAAGTCACGTGATATTCTAATAATATATCACGTGACACGTAATATTTGGATTAAAAATAAGAAAGAAAAGTAAAATAAAAAATTGAAACTATACTTTTCAACTTTTAAAGACTTTTACAAAATAAATATATTTTAACAAATTAATACTTATATTTTATCAATTTTAGTATAATTGTATCTTTCAAATTTACTCTTATACTGTAAGTATTTTATTTTATATTTTCATATTATGTTTTAGTATTTCTCTAAAGTATCCATAAAATACAATTATTAGAAACACTTGACAACTTTCTTGTTAGATTTGTATAATGTTTGACTTTGTTAAATTTTTAAGTTTGAATTTCTACTTTCAGACACTTCTGTGTATTCATATTATAGCCTTGAATAATTGTGTTTTATAAAAGTATAATGTGGTTATTGTTTTATTTGTTTTTCAATTTGGTGATATAAGTGAATATTATTTTTTTAATTTGAGTTTAAGTAATTATATCATTATATATATATATATATATATATATATATATATATATATATATATATTAATGATTAAAAATTAAAAAAAAAATTATTTTATAATCATTTTCGGCTATTTAAAATAAAATTTAAATATTATTTATTATTTTGACAGTGCTACCTTCCTTTTCAAGTTGTTCGATCATTTTTAAAGGTGTAGTAAGTTAAAATATTATTTTTTATTGTATTTAAAACATTTAAAATTATTTTTATTAAACGGGCCGTGGGTAAGCCCGTTTAGCCCGCGGGTTAAATGAACGGGCCACGGGCCATAAAATTCAAAACCGTTTATGAATGCGGGCTTTTTAACCCGTACCATTTAAGCCCACACCATCAAAACCCGCAGACTAAACGGACGGATAACCCGTATACCCACCTCTATAATCAGGGTAACGTCAACATTGGCTCGTATTTCAACCTCTCTTCGGGAGGGGTAAAACACAGAAAACGCCACCTGCTAAGATTAAACCACGTGATGTTTTGATTGGCTGATGCTTTTACCAAGTTGGAATCAATCATTACCGTGTTGAGAAATTCGTTAACACCATATACTAAAACGATAAAAAAAAAACTATGGGTTGGGATCAGAATAATGGATGGTTGGCTTTATTATCCCAAAAATTAATAATAATACTGGCTTTTCATTTTCCTAAAAGCTAAGCCCCTGTGTATGTCGACGCTTAGATCAAAACGATTCCCGGCTTTCTGAAAATGTCAGCATGGTATGTCCAGTTGAGTTGAGCAATTCGCTGGGGGGTGAAAAAGAGAGCTTTTGATTGGGAACTAAGGAGTACATAGCTCAACGTGCTTGAAATCTGAATGGTGGCCACTACTGGGAAAATATATCGGCCAGCGTGCTGATGCACATGCATTTATCGCCCCTCATCATCTAATCACCAAAATTTAGTAAGGTTACTTTCACTAGTGACCAATTAAAGATTATTTATTATATTTTTGTTTTGAAATTACAACCAATAAATTATATTGACAACTTTAATAATAATAATAATAAGTTATCTTTATTGAATTTGAGTTTAATATTATTAATAAAATAAGTTTAATTCGTCGATCGTTGATGATTTATTCTTTTTGATTTAGGTGGATAATCACAAATGACGTAAGGACAGTCATTGACCGATATTTTTGAATTAATGAGAGGGGATAAAAAATTATGGTCGTGAGAAATTTGATCCCTCAACATTATAGACAAATATGATAACTAAATTTTAAATTTTATCACAATGAATCATGTAAATCTATCATAAATTTTGTAATTTATTTAAGGGGTGTTTGGATGGGGGAATGCGGGATTCCCATGGGAATGAAATCCACATTCTCCCGTTTGGTTAGTCCGGGAATCTCATTCCCGGTAATGTAAGATTACCAATAGTAGATTTTTTTAGATATATTACCGGGAATGTCATGACCTCCATTTCCTTAGGTAGTGTTGGATTATCGGCGTTTTGGACTAAAATGCTCTTAATTTTTTTTTCTTTCAAAAATATCATTATTTTGTCATTAAATAATAAAAATTATACGAAGTTTAAATTACAAATTTATCCTTAAACTATTTTAGATTTACAAAAAAAAGTCTATAATTAAATTTTTATATAGAGTTCAAGGGTTAAAATAAAATTGTACCATTTCATTAAATCTTTTTATATTTTCAATTTTGTAAAAAAAATTATATAAATTTTATGAATTTAAATTTTTTAAAGAAAATATATAAATATTTTCCAACTTGTTAAAAAAACAAATATATAATAAGGATAATTTGGTCAAATATACATTCTAATAATACTTTATTCATTTAACCAAACATGGTAATCTTACATTCCTGCTATGCCAACCAAACACAAAATATAACATTCACAGTAATCTTATTTCTTGGTAATATTATATTTCCACTGGTGAACACCCTAAAAGTTAATAACATTCCCATTTCTGAATGATAAAGCCGTAACAATTTAAATGGATAAAGAGTTTGTTTAGAAACTCTCACATATAAAGAGCTTATGATTTTCAAAAGTTATCTCCAATATATAATAAATATTTTTAAAATTTTTAAAATTAACCGTAAAGTATGTACGCTACTTATATATTTCAATTGTCTATGTTTTATGTTTGTTGAGTTCACTCTAAGCTTCTTCTATATTTATCTTTCGAGTTCCATGTGAAAACAAAACCCTTTTTAGGAGGAGAGAGAATATTCGGCCCGTCGCATACGCGGCGGTGCATCACGTGGAAGGTCACTCCAGTATCAGTATCACACTTGAGCATCACCCATTCTCTCTCTTAACTTTCAACCATCGTTAATGTAAACAGCTAAGGGGTAGTTGAAATTTTGAAAACTTTAGTTCCTCGACCCAAGCAAATATTCAATGACCTTTTTTTCTCTTTACAAAATTATAGAAAAATGGAAAATAAATAAATAAAAGAGGCGATGATGGAAAAACAAAGAAACGACACGTTTGATGGTGATGCTGAACATTGCCGAAGGGTCCAAAATAGTACTGTCTCATTGAACGTGATTACAACAATAACACTAAGACTTTAGCACGTCAGCAAACCTCAAAGTCATGCTGTTGGCGGTGTTGTTGCCGCTGCTGCTGGTTGTGGTGGTGACGGTATTCTTCTTCTTGCTGCTGTCTCGACAGCTCTTTCTGCCTCCGAAGCTCCAACACCTTCCGGTGTGAGTTCGAGTGCTGTGTTAGCACGAATGTTGGACTCGCCGCAGGCCGGTACTCAGGCACGAGACGCCCCGACTTATACCGAACCCCACAAGCGTTGCACAACGTCTTCGGTCCTAATGGCCCCGTCCTCCACTGCGGCGTCTTCTCCGACCCGCAGTGCGTGCACCGCCGAAACCCTCCTTCCGCCGCCGGAGATGCTTGACGTTGGGATTCCCTTTTCGCCTTCGATGGCGGCGCTCTGGAACGATTGCTCCAAGCTTTGTTCGAATACGACGAGTGGTCATTTCTAGGGTTAAGAGCTTCGGCGAGCGAGTTCGATGGGAAGTCGCTGAAAGAATCATCTACGAACCGCGACAACCATTCCAGCTCGGCCACGTCATCACTCTACAAATGAACAGGCAACTATTTAAGCTTAATCATGCAAAGAAAAACAAAAGAAGAAAGAACATAAAAATCAATCTAACTAATGGGGAGTAAAGTCATCAGTCATTACAGGAAGACAAAGGTCATGGGTGAAGTCGTTGTTGGAGAAAGAGGGATGAAAGGCGGCGGAGGAGTAAATGAAAGGGGTTTCAGTGTTTGGGAGAGTATCGTTGTTGGTGGAAGTAGAAGCGGATGAAAAAAGCTCTTCGTTGGACAAATCCAAAAGATCATCAATATGAAACACTTCCATACCCAGAGAAAGAGAGAGAGAAAGAGATAGGAGGGGAAGATCAGGGACGAAGGGAGGAATGATATATGGGGGGAAAGGGGGACAGAGGAACGTGCAAGGAGTGAGCAGTGGCTTTTTTTTATAAGGGAAGTTACTAGACTTGGAGTAAAATTGATAAATGCTTCCATAATCATACACTGTTTACAGTAAGGAAAAAAAAAACAACGGTTCTGCATGCATGGATGGATGGATGGAGCATAAAAATGGGTGGCTCCACCACATGCTGTACTTATTGGCTATTGTTATGGGCTCTTTTTGGCATATATAATTCGATACCTGCTTCTTTCCCCCACCCTCTTTCACTTGCCCTTGTAATTAAAATTTGGTTTACCCTTCTTATTTTCACTTTCAACCCCTATCTTATTACTATTATTTTTAAATGGTGTTTATAGGTATTGTTGACCTGATGTTTGGTTATAACAATATGTATGGATTTTATTGCATTTTTAATTTTTAACTTAAGTAAAACAACAATGTAATGTCATATGAACAATACTTAAAAGAAACCTTCCAAGGTTTGAAAACTTCGAAATCCGTGCATTTGTTGATGATCATGTAAAGGATTATCGGCATTGTTTTGAAAATCAGACCGGATCAGTCGGTTCAACTGAGAATCGTTGTCTAGTCCGATTCAATATAGACCGGTTGAACCGTTACTAGTGAACTGGCCAGAACCACTGAACCGTTCAAATCGAACCGGCTGAAAATCGGAAAAAATCGAAAAAAACCGCCAATTTTGTTTTTTTTTTAAAAAAAAAAAATTAAACCAAACGACGTCGTTTGTTAAACGAACCAAGTCAAACTCAAGTATTGCTGAGCTCGACTCGAACTTGAAAAATTTAAAAGTAAGCTCAACTCGATTCAAACTCACGAGCTAAAAATTATGAAGTTTAACTCGAACTCGAAATATAATATTGAAACTTGAACTCGAAAAGGCTTGAACTCAAAAAAAATTAGAAGCTCGATTGAAGCCTAAAATTCGAGCTTGATTGAAGTGAAAGAATAGTTCACTCAATGCTTACCAAAAGGCTCCATGATTTTAAATGTCAAATTACCTCTATTATTTATAGAAATTAGTTGAGATGATCTTCTATGTTTCTTAGCCATGTAAGATTGTTTTTAAAAAAAAAAATTAAACCAAACAATATCATTTTGTTATAATTTTTTTAGTTGTAGTTAATTTGAATCATTTTGTTTCACTTGATTTTATGGTTTTTAACTTATATATATGTTATGACTTGCTTTGAATATGAATTGTGATATAAAAAATTATTTTTTATTATATATTTTTAGTATTTTTATTTAATTTTTTAAATAATTATGATGTCGTTCGGTTATTCCGACCGATCGAACCGATTCGACCAGTGAACCAATAACATGACCGGTTCGCTAACCGGTCCGATTATGAAAACCATGAATATCGGTAACCGAGAAAGCAAACACTTTGGATTCAGTGGGGATGTAGGCATGTAGCAAACAAAACTCTCAGACTGTCTTATAATTTGTTTCAATCTCAAGCTCGTATTCTAAATATTTAAAATTTAAAAAATCATCAGAAAGAATATTAGGTATCGTTATGTATAACTTGAATTGATTGAACGAATGATCGATTTTGATCATACAAAGGCTGTATAAAATTTCACCAAAAAAAGTCCCCTAAACAAGTTTATATAGAATCTTTATTCTTTTCCTAATTGAATAGTAGGGTTAAGACTTTATATATACGCACATTGTTACTCTCTTTAATTTTTTATTATATTAACGTGTCTTTTGGCATATAGCTTTTTCTTTTAGAAAAATTATTATTTCTTCTTTATATTTTTTAAATTTACTTCTTTACTATTTACTCGGAGTTTTTGGGTTTAGGCACGTAATTAAAAAAGTTTGCTAATTTACCCCTTAATCACACGAAAACCCTAGTCGTCTCTCTTTTTTATCTTAATTTTATCTCAATATTTTTGTTACGTCTTCTTTTTTTGTTTAGCCGGCGACGGTACTAATCTTAATATTGACTGTCGACTGTCGGGATTATTAGTTCTCTTATTTTTTTATATTATATCTTTAATTTTTTTTCCTTAAGTCTTTTTAATTTTAAATAAAAATATATATTCTTGTGACACGTTTTTCTGCTATTGTGACATGATCTTTATGATTTTTTGTACGTTTTTTTGCATACATTTCCGGTTGTTTTGGTTCCTGCACAAAAACATCACGACATTTATTTTCTGATTGGTTTGTCGATTGTCATGTATACTCAGATCCCTCTTTGGGTAAAAGATTGTTTGTCGATGTAATCAAAATTGTGTAGCGAAACAACCTACTAGATTGTTTGGTTCGCTCTCCACTTTTTGTCATTTCGTAAAACGTCTCATTCGACAGAGACAAAGAGTTTTTATGAAGGTTATTGTTTTTAATTTGGTCGTCATTCTCAATAGAATGTTTTATTTTCTTCGTATCTTTAGGTTTAATATTTTACTTTTGTATGAGTATTTTGGTGATTATTGTCTCCAAAATTTTCTCTATATTTTGTTACGTTGTAATTTTGATTCATTCGATTATTAATGAAATTGAGTTACCATTATTCAAAAAAGATCGTTAGTTTTTTTATATTATTTGGATAGTTGAGCAAGTACATTTGGTTGTTTGGTCAAATTATTCATCTTTGTTCTCTCTTATTTCTTTAGATCATGAGTTCTATACTTAGGGATAGCAACGAGTTGGATTAGGGTCGGGTTTTTGATCAACACAACCCAACCCAAATACTTTTTATCCTACATCCGACCTGACTCGACCCAATATAAAATAAGGATTTAATTAAAATAATGATTTTTTTAAAGAAAATTACATTATTATCTTCGGGTCGGATCAGATCGAAATTTTTTCACCCTTTGTCTAAACTTGACCCGACACAACAGTATTGATAGCCGATATTCAAGACAACAATATTGAAATTTCTTAGTAAATTTTTTTCTTTTATGAAAAGAACAATATTGATTGTCTTATACTTTGAAATTTAGGTATACTACTTTTACAAATTTGTGTTAATTTTGATAGCCGATATTCAAGACAACAATTACACTTCTAAATAGAAATTTACTTTTTAGATCGCAATTTGTTCATAACATTATTTTTTATTTTTAACGTTTTATTTATTCAATCAACTGTGACAATATATTATACAATAATATTATTCTTCATTTAAAATCATAATATATAATAAATTTATTAAAAAAATCTTATTATTTGGTGAATGAGATAATTCCGGAGAAGCTAAAGCTGGAAGGGAAATAGGTATTTTCTCCAACTGATCCCAACTGCGCACTCCTTCACGATAAATGATCTTTACTCTTTACCTAGCATTAATTGTTCATCTTCACACAGTAAAATAGTGTCGGTAGTGAATAATCATAATAATAAATTACCAATTTTACCTTTTACATACAATACAAACCGCTCGGGGAACATTTACTTCATATCACATTGGCCTGTCAGAATTGTTCTGCCATTTCCTCCTACTTTAGCGGCCTATTATTTAAGTTTAAAGAAACCAATAGAAAATGACTTTCTACTATAGTATTTACCCCAACCAAAATTTACGATTACAGTCAAATGAGCTTTTTTAATTATTAGTTTATTATTATTAAAGTAAACTATAAAAAAATAGTTATTAAACTTTAAGGTATTTATATTTTAACCATAAAACTTTTAAAATTCTCAAAATAACCACAAAATTATAATTCATTTTAACTACTACCACTATAGGTCGTATTCTTGATTTGAAATTCTAAAATGAAATAAAAATCAAACTGCTATATAGCCACCACCCACTGTAGCCGGTGAGACCAACAAGCATTAAAACGTCACTAAAATGTGACATATCACAATCGGCATGCAATAATTTGTACACCAAACATCATAATGTAAGTTAAAATGTTCATCTATGTACATAATTCACAATTTAAGAGCATGTCAATGGATACAATTCTACGCAATCGTCTCTGGTACACCAAAAGTCCAGTGACCATTATTGAACATCGAGTCCTGCTGCGAGATATTGTTTCTATTTTATTAATAAAATAGATTTGAATTTAGTCTCACCATAACCGACAACTACTCACAACTGGCAGTCTCCCATCTCTGTCTTTGATTCGCTTTTTAGTCTTTTAGAAGGAAAAATGCATGCAATTATGGAAGGAAAAGGAGTTGGGTGGTGATGCTGACAAAAATATTTAATTTTCCAAATGAGAAAAACAAGTACGCTCCCGTACATTGCACCTCTTCTTTTCTTTCTAAACTAGAAGATTAAAAAAAATTACCAATATTTTGACAAAATTGACCGTGGCAGCCCATTCGTCATTTTGTTTTCTCTGCATTAATCTGAAATTCAGGGATTTGGATCATTTACCTTCTTGCACGTGGCATGCTGTTTATGTATTGTTTACGGATAATAACTTTAAATATTTGTTTTAACCAAATAATACTTTAGGTATATTTTTATGTAGTTATTTTTAAATTAAGGCAGTGGGCTAAGGTTTCAGCTTCGGCATCGGTGGCAGAGATGCGGGAATGGAATCACGTGACATGATAAAGTGCGGTGATCCCTATATAACAGCATGCCACGTGCTTAGGCATGTGCCTTGCCTATAAACAATGCGTTATACAATAATATTTTTAATTTCTTATCCATACATGACGATGAACGAACTTATGGTATTGAATTATATAACAAAAAAGTATATCCAATGTTTGTATTATTATAAATTTATAATCAATATGCCTAAAATTCAACAATTCAAATTAATTAAATAGTAGATAACGAAGTAAATCACTTAAAATTTCGAAATAAGGGAAGTTGTATTTTTCATACTTGGATTTCTTCCAATGATTATTTAAACAAATGAAAAACAACGTTGAGCTCTAAATGCTAATTATAGCATCGAAACAACTCAAAAGTCTAATAATATGTCAAAGCAGCGAGTTAAAGCCCATGGTAAAG